ACACCGACCACTGATTGACTTGATTAAGACTCACGTTTCAAATCTGTCAACTCATACTAAAGGGAAGGAAACGTGGGCCGGAGAATTTGTGAATGGAAACAGGATGATCACTGGTGTGGATGCCTCACGACAATAACTCAAACCGAAAAAGTGACAGTAAACCGCATTCAGAACATCCAATTACACGGTGAAACTTCCAAAAACAAGCCAGGCGTCGACACGCAGACGAGCAGGAGCCCGATGACCAGCCAAGGCTCTCCCGGGTGGGCAACAATGGAAAAGTTAAGCGGCGTCGTGGGTACTGAAGTTCCTTCTGGGTGGCCTGGCACGTCTGCAGTTAGAGAGTGAGCGAGGGGGCGTGTCCTTCACAATCGCGGTGCTTACATATCGCGTTCAAGAGGAAGAGCGAGACAACAACCTGAACTGGTTGTCAGCCAGTCACAGGGCACATTTAGACAAACAAACATTCACACTCACAATCACACCTCGGGACAATTTAGAGTGTTCCATTCACCTGCAACGCATGTTTTTGAAATGCGGGAGGAAAACACCGACCACTGATTGACTTGATTAAGACTCACGTTTCAAATCTGTCAACTCATACTAAAGGGAAGGAAACGTGGGCCGGAGAATTTGTGAATGGAAACAGGATGATCACTGGTGTGGATGCCTCACGACAATAACTCAAACCGAAAAAGTGACAGTAAACCGCATTCAGAACATCCAATTACACGGTGAAACTTCCAAAAACAAGCCAGGCGTCGACACGCAGACGAGCAGGAGCCCGATGACCAGCCAAGGCTCTCCCGGGTGGGCAACAATGGAAAAGTTAAGCGGCGTCGTGGGTACTGAAGTTCCTTCTGGGTGGCCTGGCACGTCTGCAGTTAGAGAGTGAGCGAGGGGGCGTGTCCTTCACAATCGCGGTGCTTACATATCGCGTTCAAGAGGAAGAGCGAGACAACAACCTGAACTGGTTGTCAGCCAGTCACAGGGCACATTTAGACAAACAAACATTCACACTCACAATCACACCTCGGGACAATTTAGAGTGTTCCATTCACCTGCAACGCATGTTTTTGAAATGCGGGAGGAAACCGGAGCACCCGGAGAAAACCCACGCAGGCACAGGAAGGCCTGATTCAAATCCATGACCTCTGGGCTGTGAGGCAGGCGTGCTAACCAGTCGACTACCGACGCGCCTCCCAAGGTCCAACCGCATCTCAGTCAGATGTGGAAGGTTCTTACAGTTTATACTAAAATGGGGAAGGGGCGGGAGGGTAACACGAATCCCCAAATACATTGTTAAAGTGTGTCTGGGTGTTCTGCTGCTGGGAAGTGTTTGGGATTTTATAGCTTTACGGACGCCGGAGACTTGCAAATATCAACCCATTAGGTCGGGTGAGACACCGTTTTCGAAAGCGCTCTCACGCGCGAGCGCAGAAGACACGCCAACAATGAGCAATTTTAGCGCATTTTCATAGGAGACGCTAAAAGAACACAGGTGCCTTGGATTGCTTCCTGCTGTATGTTGAATTACCAAATCAATGAGTCAGACCCTCATATCAGAGCCCATAAAAAAATGTTTTAAAAGAGGACCGGCGAACTCCTGTTACGGCTCCCCTGACATCTGCACGTGGGTCATGTCAAGGACACCGCGGGGTTATTACGGTGTGAGTCGCAGAGATGGAGCGGTGGAGGGTTTGGATAAGAGTGTCGGCAGTGCGGGTGGAGCGCTGCTTTTCATCACGCTGGAAAAAGGTGCGTCAGAAAAGCCTGCGATAGATCCATACACACACATTGAGTCTTGAATCCAACAAGGTAGTAGTAGCCTGCAAGTCGTAGCCTTTTCGACCCTGAGAAAGGTAAAAGCAATTATTGTGGGGTCCACTAATTAGCACTATGGAGAGAGGATCAGAAATTGACTCAGCTGTGGCGACAGATCGGTTTTTCTCCTTTTCGTTGCCTTTAGAAAGAAGTATTACTTTTCCATCCTCTGCTTCCGTTCAGTGGTCTGGTTCTGGTACAATTCATACTTTTGCATCTTTCACAATTATTTGGAGTTGAACCTCAACAAATTAGCATACCATAACACTTTCAGCGATTTGCATTTTTCTGTCAACGTAATCCACCTAAAATCTGTGATTGAGACAGATTGAGTCTTGGTTCTGCCTCAGGTGTTCTTCCTGTTTAAGAGTTTTTCCTTCCAAAGTGTTTGCACACATGAAGGCTCTCTTGGTATTTACCAATGCTTCTCATTCACTCCAGCTGACTCTTTTAACGTCAAATGTCTTATCTCCTCACCCAGGAGCCCGTCAGTCCTCTTCCTGTTCTTCCATCCAACGCCGGCTGCATCTCTTCCACCTTCTCCCACTTTCCCCCTCACTCCCTTGCCGTCCGTCTCCCTAGGGTGAAATATCCCCTTGTCGGATTCCTATCTCGCCTCCCAACTGTCTGGCGGTACATCATCTCATTTTTTTGTTTACACACTCCCCGTTACATTCGCACTGAACATTACATACAAGACACATGGCTAACATCCAATACAATTTGTTTCTGTTATGTCATTCATCGTTATTTGCTTTACACCGAAAACAGGAGCGGGAAGGTCTGACGGTGATGTAGCGAACCTTTCTCTGAAAAATGTATAAACAGCTACAAGGCAGACCTAAAGAAGAGCAAAACAAAACAGTGTATGTCATAAAAGAGGCCGCCAAACCGCTGCAAAGAGACTCCAAAATTCCTGGCACTCCATCAAACGCAGAGCACGGCATCACATGACCGTATGTGTTAAACTCATCATGCTGCTGAGTAATGGGAACAAGACGACAGTACGTTTGACTTTGTTACCCGGGATGGATGAGTTGTTAGTTCTCAGACAATGGCAAGAATGAAGCAATTTGTGACGTGTTGACGCATGCAGTTGCAAGCATGAGACACCCCGCCACCCAATTGTGGTTTCAGGAGTGCGCTGAGCCCAAAGTGGTGAAACCATCACCAGTACAGAATATGGATGAGCACACTTTGGGTTTATTGATGTCCCCTTGCTTTTTTATCTAAGTGTTGGTCATCCTACTTTTGGTCACGTTACACCACCAACGCAACAATCCAAAAACCCCCTCCCATCTCTTCTGCTCTTTCCAACATTCGTTTCATCATATCACAGTTTGTCGTTTCAAACTGACGACCGAGCGCACGAGCTGTAGGGCGCGGGTGACGTTAAGAAAAAGGCTCAGCCACGTGGATTGCTTTTTAACTCCGTTGGCCATTTTATCCCGGCGCCCCCAACAGAGAATAACAAACGTGTTTCGACCTTGAGTACCGTGGCAGGCATCCAGGCCCGCCATATGAATTCACTCAGCGCACCGACAGTACGTGTGCTTTTCATCTGGCATGCAAGTCACACAAATGTCTTTTTGTGCATTTGTGTAAATACACGTCATACGGGCATACCTACCGGATGATGTTTGTGTAAGATAGAGGATGAGAAACTAATGTGCTCACGTATGTTCTGTCCAAAAAAGCTAAGTCATTAGTTTTGGGAGGAAAAAAAAAAAATACCAAGGCACTCCAAGAGTCGACTAAGTGTGGAGTTGGCGTCCGTCTTTGGTGAGAGTCATGCACGCTGGCATGCACCTCAGCGCGCTGATGTCATGAAGCTAATCGTAGATTAGGGAGGCTAAAGAGTGCGGAGGGGGAGGAACAGCAAAGCAATCGTGACTTTCTTCTCCTCAAACAAAGTCAAGAGTTCATCGAAATAAAAGACTTCCCCGCACTCCTCAGCACTTTCTAATCTAAACCATGGGTCGGACTCTGGCTGGCAAAAACAAACAGGATGCTCCTCCTCGGGTGACTCGGATGACAGGGAATACGTTTGAACACAGTTTGAGGGCCCCTCTGCTCTGCCGACATGGGGCCAAACATCGCCCTCAAACTACGGAACGCCACTGAACCGTGAACCCAAATGTGTAAATGACAAGAATATTTTACGGCGTGCAAAATAATGCAATGAAGCTTCGCAGCGAGGGGGATTTCGGATCAGAAAATACACACTGCGTGCAGAATAGCCTTACCGGTAAAGAAAATACGGGCCAGAGGAGTTCTATTCATCCAAATTATACTGGGCATGGTCGATAAAAATGGATTATTTGCGTTGCAGATCATCTGGATAAAGATACCCTTTAGTGAGCCATATACATCCTCACATTCTCACTCACTCATCATTCTGCAATAAATCATTCAACGTGTCGCACCTCAATCAGTACTCGCAAACGTGGCATCTGCAAACCTGACGGTTGGGTTTGAACTTGCAAAAGCTGTCAAATCTTTGCGTTACAGATTGTGAAAAAAAAAATACTGCATGATGTTAAATATTGAGAAGATGTGGACCAGAGGCACACTCATATTATATGGGTTATGGTAGGCCTGTTTTACTGCCGCTTCTCCTTTCTGCCCGCCATCTCTCCCGTTTGACAAGGTGTTGATGGGCTCTGCGGCAGTTGCTATAACTGATGCCAACCTTATCTAAATACATTTGACTTGACCTGACCTGATCTATCGCTTCTCACCAGTAGCTTGTGCTCAAACCTTACGCTTGAAGTGGCCAAAGCATGTACTTTTTTTTATCATCAAGCCAACACTTGACCTGCGAATGCAACAGTACGCATCTCTCCACTAGCGAAATAGTTCAATAAAGCAAAACCGACAGTCGAAGCCGCTTCATAACAGCAGGATTGCCTCGCACATTTCATCTTGCGTAATGCTGCATAGTTGCGGTCTTGGCCATGTTTGCGTGTTTTTGGGTGGGGAGGAGGGGTGAATTTATTTGGATAAAAGCAAGAAATTATTCTTGAAAGGTTTTAGCATGAACCCACATTTCCTTGCCAGGATTTAAACATGTTAATGATCTTAGCATGGCGAGGTAGGATGAGGGGTTCTGACTTACTTAGCGTTAAAAAAAATGTTTTAAAAAAAATGCATAAAAGGTGTTATTCATCACTCACCAAAGCGCTTGTATCCAAAAGACTGTACTTCCTCCTCGTCTGCAAAGTCGTCTGCGTGACAAAATCAGAAACATATGACATAAATAGCTTGCACCCCCACCCCAAAAAAAGCCAAAAGTGATATCTAATGTGTCATACTGTACCTATTAACAATGAACCCATTCATTGTGTAGGTGCTACAAGGTCATGGCGCAGAGTGCGCAAAGTAAAATCGCGATACGCTGAACGTCACATGACCAAACCCGGAAAACAGGTTAACGACCTGGCTGTGTATTGCGCAATAACTATACGATGACATATAGCATGATATTGAGGCAACGTATCTGTAGTGCTTGTTCTTCTTGGATTTTGGTTTTCGGTCAAAAACATGATCACGCACGATTCCCCGCGCTGAGGATTTTATCGGTTGTGGAACACAATCTTTATGTGGCTGCTGTTCTGCGGTGACATTATTGCAGCACACCACACACAATACGATCAAAAGTGATAAATGCCTGATTGTTATATTCGTTTTTTAATCATCACTTCTGGGCTCTGTAACAATCATTAAGATTGTAAAAATCCTTATGTGTGTCGTGCGCCTTGGGTTCCCCAAGACCAGGAGCATAACATGCCACTACACTAAAGAACATCATGGTTTAATGGTAAACAGATGGTGCTAACTGGGGGAGGGGGGGTGGTCTCATGGGGAAGAGACTGATGAGATGTTTTGGTGAGGGAGGGGTCACTTTGCTATTAAACTAGTGGTGATGTCAACCATGCATCGCCTTGTAGAACTATTGCAGGAAGATACTATCACTGCTAATGGCCATCCAATTTTTTCAATCACTATCAAGTGAGTGGTTCTCAAACTTTTTAGCGCCAAGTACCACCTCTTAAAAGAACTCGCCAAGTGCCACCATAGTCTTCAACATTGAAAAATAGTAACGTAGGCGATCTGTTCACTGAAAACGGTGCAGACTTATTTTGTCACTGTAACATGATGCACACTTTGAAGATTGCTGCCCAGAAATATAGGGAAGTTCACTTAAGTGTACTGAAGTGACTGAATTCAAAATAATAATTTTTTGGCGAAACACAATTGTATCTAAATAAATGTATAAAAACAATTCTTGTATTATTAAATGTATTGTAATGGTCTTAAAAGTTAAATACCATACATTAAAAAAAAGGATTGCATTGAATTTCTTTCAACATGATGCATACACGCTCTATTCTGCTATGTTCGATTGTGTTGCGTGTTTAAAATGTGGTATATTGTTTATTCTATAAAATTGATTAACTCCCCTACGTACCGCTAGAGAGATTAACAACCATCATTTTTACACCTACGGACAATGAAGCTGACGTGCAAGTTTTGGGAAGGTGAGAGCAAGCCCGAGAATCAAACCCAGAACATCTCAACTGTGAGGCAGATCTTCAAATCGCGAGTACACCGAGCTTCCAATTTATATTTGCATCCTGCACATCCTTTCATCCATCTTCTACAACTAAGGAGATTCGAACATGAAACCTCAGAACCCGTGAAGCAGACGTGCTATCAAGTGGACGCTGCGCTGCCCTGCTACTTATCATGCAAAAGCATGACAGTCGCTTAATATGACTGACGAAGCATAATAACGATAACAATGAATAATACCTTTCATTGCGTTTTGATTGGTCGCTGGGGACAGAAGAAGACACAAGGATCGCTGTCTGTCACTTTGTGCGCATCTCAGCATCCGACACAAAGTGGGTCAATAGTAAAAGTTCCCCGAGTTTACGAATGACTATTGCTTGGGGGGAAAAATATACATATAATAACATCAAAGCAAAAAGGAAATATCAAACTACACTTGTCGTTGGAATCCCATCGCTCTGGTAGTTCCTCTTAGCGGGACTGATGTGCTGTTTCTGTTTCTGTCTCCTCTTCACGCTGTTTCTTCGACTGCGAGAAGTCAAGCTGCATGTTGCGATGTCCGGGTGTTACCTTCAAAACTAAAGGGATAAAATATCATCCACTCACAATCGGCATTTCGTTCAATTGTATCACTCGCTGTTGTGACTTCATCAATTCAAATCTGCTAAACTAATTTTTTATGATATGATATGAATATTTTTGAAAACTCTTATTCTGAAGTCCAAACTAAATCCGATGGCTAACAACGTTAACGATTGCTAGCTTTACACGGCCACGACAGAGGCATTTGTTAATCAACGGATTAGAAAATTTAAAATCTTATTTCTGCAAAAGTGATTAATTAAAATAATTTGTTTTCATTTTTAAGTCACTCACTCATCTCATTAACTATTTTCTCATGAACCCCCTCATGAAAATCTGCTGCCCATTACTGATAATTTCTTTAAAGGCGTCACTGAACACCGATCAAGTGACATTTTCTTGCTCACTTCCTGTGTTTTTACACATTTCATTTTCCCTTGGCTTTCTTTTACACAAGTGGTTGATGAGTTCCAAACTTAAAAAAAAAAATTTATTCGTCTTACAAAAAAAGTGTACAGTTAAATATTCTACAAAGCGCTTTGTTACAGCTGCACCTGTTGTGAAAGTGCAACTTTGAGCAACACAATTGCATCAATATCAGACGTCAAATCCAGAGCTTCACATGCAAACATTTGTCCTTCCCTTTTGTCCAAATGGCCCCTCATCTATCAAGACGACACTGCAAAGAATGCCTGAATCTCTGAAGAACATCATTGTGACAACCACTTAACGTCACAGGCCTGCGGACGTGCGTCGGCGATCAAAGCGGAACAAGGAACTGCAAAGGAACTGGGCCTGGTGATGGTTATAGCTCTTCAATACAAGAAAGTCCTATAAGACAAGAACAAAGATAAAGATGAGCATGCCAGCTGTAAAGGCATAGAAATGCAGTCAAACCACAAAGTTCTCCTCTTCACTACCACTGCACCAAATATGGATGACTTCCATGCAAAATCCACATCATAATGGTCTGTGGCTTTGGCTCATTTGTAAAAAATGATATTGGAAGTTGCAGAAAAGATGCGATGCGTTGAAAGTGAAAAATATATATATATATTATTGTATTAATTACTACAACACCATTGATGGTCCTTAAGTAGTTAAACGCTCACCAATTTTTAAGGGGTGCCCTAGGGGTTAAATTGAAGATTAGGGGTGTCAAATTCATTTTTATGACTGTGAAACCGTATGAATGTTTAATCACCTCCTCCGATTATTACATATGCAGTACACAATTAATGAATGGCTAGTTTTGAAATCAAAAGTCAAGGATAGTAATTTGTTCAACTGTTCAAGTTACAAAAGTAATGTAACAAGAAAATGTTTGCACTATATCAACATTATTATTTATTACATATGACAATTTGAAATTTTGGTACAGATTTTAGCAAGCATGATGGAAGTTGACCTGCTTGATTTGCTTTTGCGGGCCACATAAAATGATGTGCTGGACCAGATCTGGACCCCGGGCCTTGAGTTTGACACAGGTCGGAGATAAATATGAAAACCAGTCTCTTCACTCATGCAAAACTGTGGACAACATAGCCATCTATAGGCAAAAATGCACAATTGCAGTCTTTTAAGTTGGAACGTAAAACTGAATTAACGGGAGCCAAATTCAGCGTCGTCAGATAGGTTTCATTTTGTATTGGCTTTGAATGAATGTAGTTTGCGGAAAGGTGACATATGGTATTAGCTTGGGCGAAAACGACGACGACGAAGACGATTTACTAACATAACATTTCAATCTAATGGCCATTGATTCCTGAAAGTGAAAATGCTGTCTTTGTATTGACCACATGGTGTCAGTAGAAGACCGCGGAACTTAGAGTATAATGCAAGTTTTTGAAAAACTATTTTATGTGACACACGTAAAACGTTGCTTTTAAGAACCCAAATCAGTGTTATTATCAAATAAAATAACATTGTAATCATGTTTAACAACTAAAGTCGTCACTTACTACTTGTTTTAACCTTCATTGTCGCTGCTGGATTTGTATAAAGTTCTGTTAAAAAAAAAAAAAAAAAAAAAAGCCCAGCGCCACTTTTAGTTCTCGCGATACTTCACCAATAACAAGGAAGTGCTTCTCGTTCTATTATTGGCTGGTATTTGAGATTTGCATTCACGCGTGAAATTTTGGCGCAACGTATTCACGAACACAAGTGACATTCGTGACAATTTTTTTCAATTTCGAATATTTCGTATACAGTTCAATGGAACAACCGACCGGGGAACACGGCGCTAAGACGCCGGAGGAGATAAAAAAGACCTCGCCGGGTTTGTTTTGCGACGAGCGCGGCTATCTGAACCAGGTGGCGTTCATCCTGGAGCACGGCCGCAGGAAGGGAGACCGCACCGGGACCGGCGTCATCTCGGTGTTCGGCACCCAGGCCCGATACAGCCTTCGCGGTAAGCCTCGCTAGAAGGCAAGCCATTCATTCAAATCTTGATTAGGCCTGGCGAAAAAATGCTACCACTTGGTGCTACTTTTTTGGAGTTAAGACACTCATTTTAAATTTCAAATATCTCATGGCGCACCACAAAGTAATTCGGAGTAATGATGAAATATTTATGTCCTCGTCTGAGTGTGGGGCCGTCTAGCTTCATTGTATGGCCACAGTGGCAGGTCCCCAACCACTGGTCCGCGGGCAACTCGGTCCCCGGCCGCACAGAGAGACAGAGAACAAACCCCAATAATTTTAGGGACAGGGCACATACATTAGTCCAACCCCCCCCCCCCCCCCCCCCCCCCCTCGTCGATTACCTTCCAAACTGCAACACAAATTTAACGATATGGAGTAAATGAAGTCCTTGTGCAAGGTAGCTCGCGTACATGTGCATGTTACTAAATCGTGTCTCTCTTGTTTTGTAGATCAATTTCCTCTACTGACAACCAAGAAAGTATTTTGGAAAGGAATCCTTGAAGAGTTGCTTTGGTTTATCAAGGTTCGTCAATTGAGGGCATGTAAGGTATTTATTGTTTAAGGCTGGGTGGCCATGACAGTCTAAAATGCTCAGAGTTATATTTTTTTCCATGGAATGGTAACCTTGGGTGAGTAATTGGTGCACCATGGTCAAAATGTTGATAAATGTTGTCTATATTAATTGTTTAAATTCTACATATAGCACAAATTATGACCTCAAAACACTTCGATATCATTTCAAACTGATCTTACAAGTTTAGCCATTTCAAGATAAATGACTTCCACGTGATTTGGATTTTGAAACAAACTAAATGCAATGGAACAAGGACCACAGTGTGTATGTCGCCATGATACAACCTGTAAAAAACACAAATTACTACTTTCCTGTGCTCTGTCTGAGGATGTTTTTGACTCAGTGATACTTGGATGCAGTATTTTAAATGCATATTTGGCAAAAGGCTCTTTGGGTTCTTTCTGTACCGTACTGACCTGAAAACTAAATACTCAGATAAGTGCACACAGATGTGTTTTTCAGCCACTTATTTTATGTGCGTTTTACAGAAAAAAAAATGAGAGTAGGCAGGGTGAATGTCAGTCCACACAGCAGTGAGGGTTTCACAAATCATGTTTTCATCTGATTTCATAGCTCAATATCAACCGTGGGATAGTCTGTGTTTTGTGTCGACAGGGGTCGACGAATTCCAAGGAGCTGTCGGAGAAAGGCGTGAAGATTTGGGCTGCTAACGGCTCGCGCAGCTTCCTGGACAAGTGCGGCTTCACCGAGCGTGAGGAAGGCGACCTGGGTCCCGTGTATGGCTTCCAGTGGCGCCACTTTGGTGCAGAGTACACCGACATGCACGCCGGTACCACTACCATAATTTCTTTGGAGCTTCCCACCCATTTTATGCATGAGTGGTTCGCACTTCTGCCTCGCAGTTCTCAGGTCTGGGGTTTGACTCTGGGCTCGTCCTGCGTGGAGTTGGCATTTTCTCCGGTCATGCAGACGCTATTTAAATGACACCTGAAACGAAATAAAAAAATGAATTTTATCTTGACTTTTGGGACATCTTCTGTGGCCTTGATTTTGGCTTCTTTCGTCCCTCAGATTACACAGGGCAAGGCGTTGACCAGCTACAGAAAGTCATCAACACCATTAAGAGCAATCCAGACGACAGGCGAATCATCATGTGCGCGTGGAACCCTAAAGGTGCAGACAAACGCAACAAGTACACACAAGGGCATCCATTTTTAGATTGTTGTAAGAGTCAACATTTATTATTGTTTTTAATTATTAAAAAAAAAAAAACAGGATGCTGTCTGTTCACATTCAACATGTGCGACTTTTAGTTGCTGGCTCTCATTTAATGTCTTTTTCATTTTGTCATTTGTCAGACCTGCCTCTGATGGCGCTGCCTCCCTGCCATGCCCTGTGCCAGTTCTACGTGTGCGACGGCGAGCTGTCCTGCCAGCTGTACCAGCGCTCTGGCGATATGGGCCTGGGCGTGCCTTTCAACATCGCCAGCTACGCCCTCCTCACGTACATGATCGCGCACATCACGGGACTCCAGCCGGGCGACTTCGTCCACACGTTGGGCGACGCGCACGTCTACCTCAACCACATGGAACCGTTGAAAGTGCAGGTTAGCAGACCTCAGCCAAGGCCAAACAATCTCACGTGTGCCTGAATTCTCCTAATTAATATCTGGGGAGTATTTTGCTCTCACTTGCTTGGCAGCTGCAGCGGGAGATCCGCCCCTTCCCCAAAATGAAGATCCTGCGAAAAGTGGAGCGCATTGACGATTTCCGCGCCGATGACTTCGAGATTGTGGACTACAACCCGCACCCAGCCATCAAGATGGAGATGGCCGTGTGAGGCCTGTTGATGTTTTTTTTTTTTTGAACTTATAAAATATCAAAAAGTGTCACAAAAAAACTCAAACTACATTTCGCAAAAGAGACGATATGTTCATGCTGACGCAAATGAGGAAGACTTCTACTACAACTGAGTAAGTTGTTGTTTTTTTATGCCCTGTAGTATTATGTGTGGAGGAAATTGGTGAGGTTGTTGTTATTCTGAAAATTAAATTAAACACAGTTTGGGACTAGGGCAGCAAACAAAAAAAACCAAAACATTTAATTAGTTGATTAATTCCGTAGGGTCTCCAGAGACCCAATTGTCTGTGCACAAGCTATTAAAACGCCAATTTCCATAAGATGTCTTTTTGAAAGACACGTTTGGGGGGCGGGGGGAAGCATTTAACGTTCCTTTGTACTCATGTTTAAAAATAGATTGTATCTTGAAAATGTTATTTTATTTAAATAAAGAATGTGCGGTGGGCTTTAATTTTCATATGTGTCTTCTTCTTAACGTCTATATAAAGCAAGTAGCGTCTATATATAGAAACCAGCCCATGGGACTCACCATACATGTAAGTCCATTTCCTCGTTTATGTGCTGAATTTTAACTTGAGAAATACCCGTACATTCCTGTTTGATGTTTTTCGGTTTGTGTCAAAATATTTGAAACTGCTCTTGCCACCTTAATAATAAACATTGTAAATCATACTGCAGTCATCCATTTGTTTGTTCCTTTTCTTCTAGGTGGCAGTATTAAGCAGACCAGAACCAGGTCGTTATCAAGTCAAGTCATCCTTTTATTGTACAAATCCCCTAGGTGAGTTTCCCCATTCATCACTATCAGTTAGTTTATATGTATAAAAAAAAAAAAGTGTCCCCGTCATATACAAAGCGTAATAATGTTATTCCTATGAGGGCAATGGGTACATAAACAAGTTACTGTATATTGCTGTGCTGCTTTGACGTACATACTGTAGATAGCTCCGTGCTTCAGTCACATTTCTACACAGGTTTCGTTCACACTCCTGCCAGAATATACAGGATATATATGTAAGTCACACAAATCAATGCAAAAGATGCAATCGTGAGCGTGTCTTGACAGAAACGCATGGATTTGAAAGGCCTTCGAATGCTTCACGTTGTTGCCTCTGCTTTTTTTTTTTTTTTTGAAAGCAACCAACCTGATATGGATAACGCATTCGGACAGAAGGCCGTCGATCCTCGGCGGGACTCTCCGTTGCAGCTTTATTCATAATTAATGCTTTCAATGCATAATTTACACACCTCCCTTGCAAAACACGCCAGGGAATTGAGTGATAGCATCTCTTCAGGCTGACATAACTTCCAACACCACACGGACACTTAAGTAGGTACACCCGCACAATTTCATCGTTTTTGAATTGATTAATCTTTAATTCAATGGTGATTGTAAAGCCTGTCAGCAGATGGTGAAGGTAGAGAGAGGGTTTCCATGCCACAACTATTATTATATACAGGCGCATCACAATAAATTAAAAATAGCGTGGCAAAGTATTTCATTAGTTTGATTCAAAGAGTGAATTTATTTATTTTGATTAGAAGGGCAGCACGGTAGGCGACTGGTTAGCGCCTCACAGCGCAGAGGTGCCAGGTTCAATTCCAGCTCCGGAATATTTCTACGTTGTTGTGTTTGTTCAAGGCAACGTTTTGGTTATAACTCTTATATTGAATCGTTTAAGATTGCCTGGGTGTACCTATTGATGTGACCAGAAGAGACGATTGCTGAGTGTATTATGCAACTTGATGCCCAGGTTAACAGATGGCCACCCCCCCCCCCCCCCCCCCCACCTTTTTTCCCCCCCCACACACCCGTGGTGAGCTATAGGTTCTCCCCAGGCTGGTACTGGGGCTCCGTGGCAGTGAAGTAGTCCTCCAGAAAAGACTGGATATACTCGAAGGTGGGCCGCTCGTCGGCCTCCTTCTTCCAGCACAGCTTCATCATGTCGTGCAGCGACTCAGGGCAGCCCTGCGGGCACGGCATGCGGTAGCCGCGCTCCACCTGCTCCAGAACTTCGCGGTTCACCATGCCTGCAAGAAAACGAGCCAGGCAGTCACTCGAGTGGTGAGTTGAGCAAAACACAATTCGTTTTGCTTCTCATTTAAATATGGCAATTTCTAAAAAAAAAAAAAACATTCAGTTATGACAATTTGAATGGAAAACAGTTTTCATTACGCGCTCTTAAATAATTGGCCATTGTGGTGCTCGTTCAGGTTGCGCCTGTCTGGACTATGTAAGGCAGACACTGATCATTGAACTGTCACAGCTCATCGGTGCGGCACTAATATGAGTCGTTCTTCGCAGAGGACAAAGAAGATGTGACTGTGAGTACTGTTATATTGTCTTTCTTCATGTGTTGCTGGACTTTTTGTTCATTCTGTTGCTTAAAGAGTTATAGCATCGCAATACAGATGCTATTTAGCGTTAGCATTAATCGAGCAGACTGAAAACCTAAGCTATGTGGTTGTTTTTAATACACAAGATATCATATGACGCATGACGAGCTGTCAGCAACTTCTCACCACATTATCCCACCGCGCCCTCTCTCTCTCTCTCTCTCTCTCTACAATTATTTTTCTTCAAGCGATGGCTGCTGTCGGTGCCTATTCCCGGGGCCAAATTTTGGGCCCAGCAACGTCCCTGGACACCACTGTACAGATTTTTTTCATTTGGTGTTGTGCTGTGAAAGTTCTCAAGTAAAATGTATGCCTTGGCTCAAAAGAGGTTGTGAAACACTGTTTTAATTGACAGTTCAACTGCTTATTGAACTGTCTAAGAAAACAAAAAAAAAACAAAAGTTAGACATAAAGTCTGACAAGCTTTTGACAATAGCTGGCGCACAAACGAGCCAGTCGCCAACCAGATGATTTGCTAGTTTGTCATGTGCGTGCGTCACCAGGGTGGAAGCGAGCGGACGTTTGACGCAGGACAGACGCCAACTGTTTGCTTCTGCTCAAGATCATCCCGTCAAACCCTTGAAATGGAGACCGAGGTGATTGAGGCGGGGTAACCACTGAAGGGCGCGTCATTCATTGCCCCTAAGCCTCCAGTGCAGGCTGATCGAAGCCCTCACCTCCATGATTACAAAGGGGCCTCATGACATCAAATGTTGGCATGGCCGGCATTCCTGGATAACAAGCTCTTTTCAAGTGCGTGAGGAGCACTGTCAGAGCTGCTGCCTGTCAGGCGTCATCATCTCTGTTTGCCGACCTCTGTTATATTGCCCAACAAAACCAATTATGCGAAATGGAAAGGGCACAAACAAAGTAAACTGCCACTCTGGGGAGCAAAGACCTCCACCGGGAACAAATTATCCTGAAAGTCGAAGTCATTCCATGACCAAGGTCAGAACTCAATTTGCTCTCATATTAAAAAAAAAGAAATGTTCTCCATTCAAATTGTATTGCATAAAAAAGCAGTAAACCGTTCCAGCAACTCTGCAAAACAAAACCTACAATTTTTTTGTTACATGATTTTGAAAAACGAAAAATAGCATTGTTGTTAAAAAACAAACAAACAATCAAACACAATAAAAAATAAGGAAAATTTCTGCAAAAATATTGAATGGCCAGTCCGTAACCTGCATTTGAGAAGGCCATATCATATATATATATATATATATATATATATATATAGTACGTGTAAATACCTTTTAAATATCTGCGTCATAAAATTATTCATGGATGCTTCGGACATAAACACTGCAGTCTCTACACAACATACACACCCTTGGGGTAATATGAGTGTGACAGATGGTTCGAAGCAAGAGCAATGGTCAATTTTCCACCAGATGGGCTCATCTGTGTGCATGTGCATCCATCTTTGCGAGTGTGTAAAAGTGTATGTGTCCTTTTGTGTTTTGACAGAACGAATTAGACACCGCTGTATGTATGTCGTCGTCGTTTTGGGGCGGGGGCGGTTCTCACCCGGGTAGGGTACTCGGCCTTTGGTGACAAGCTCGGTGATCAAGATGCCAAAGGACCATACGTCCGACTTGATGGTAAAGCGTCCATAAAGCGCCGCCTCCGGTGCCGTCCACTTGATGGGGAATTTGGCTCCTGGATGCAACATAAGAGACATTAGCTCCTCTGGAGAGCACCCAAGCATCCTCTTCTCGTGCCTCTTTTCTATTCTGCCCTTTCACTTTCCTCTAAAAGGCAAACTGGAAGTTCATTCATATTAAAAGTAGCAAAACGTGCCTTTAACAGGTGGGAAATGCCATCACAAAATGTTTATTATTCGTGGTATATTTCAGAGAGCAAATGCATCTATCTCCCCTACCTTGCCTCGCCGTGTACTCGTTGTCCTCTATCAACCTGGCCAGACCGAAGTCTGCGATCTTGCACACCAGGTTGTCGCCCACCAGGATGTTGGCGGCGCGTAGGTCCCGGTGGATGTAGTTCATCCTCTCGATGAACGCCATGCCGTCGGCGATCTTAGAAAAACAAAATCAACAATGACTCTTGAAAAGAGAATTCTGGAAGGGGTCATGTCATGAGAGTAGCCTTCGCTTCGTTGCAACGCGCTCACTTTGCCTCAGTTGTCACGGCAACAGAAGCCTTGAGAGAACTGCCCCGAAAAGCCGAACTGTGACAACATAACTCCTTTCAATGAGAATCTTCATTTGAGTAATTATTTCAGCTCACCTGTGCAGCCATGTCCACCAGCAGGGGAAGCTTCAGGAACTTTCCGTCGCCTTCTTTGAGGAAGTCCAGCAAGCTGCCTGTTCATGAAAAAAAAATAAAAATACTAAAACAGCATGCATACAAATTTATTGGCATGTAATAAATAGTCAATGAAGCTCACTTAATTGTCACAACCTATGAGCAAAAGTATTAATCAGAGCAGAATATCACCATGTCGTAAACCGTACATGAAACCATGCAAGTCCCCCCCAACCTTAAGCAAAACCACAGCAGCTCTGTTCGCCTTTTCTGAGCAAACTGAATTAAAGCCTCCATGAATATGTTTTATGTCCTTGGCATTGCTGATATGCTTATAAAAAGAGAGAGAGAGAGAAATGAAAAGCAGAGTGGGTGGCTTGACTTCTTGGACATGGCAGGCCCGGGCTTGATGCGTTTATAAATAGAGCTGGGGGAAAATGCAATCATGTCCTCTCCACTCTCGCGGGATATCACTTGAGCTCCCCAGTCTCAACGGTTGAAGATCCCCCTCCCCAACAGGCGACATAAGATTACAAATTCGCATGCGTTTGTGTTACCTTTGGCCATGTACTCGGTGACGATGTAGATGGGCTCCTCGGAGACAACGGCGTAGAGCGGCACCAGTTTGTCGTGTCGCAGCTTCTTCATGATCTGAGCCTCCTGCAGGAAGGCCTCAGGCGACATGGTGCCCGGTTTCAGCGTCTTGATAGCCACTTTGGTGGTGCCGTTCCACGTGCCTGGTGAGGGGAGGACAACGGCGTTCAGTGTTTGCGCTCCTCACAGTGGCATCGTGCCTTCTTTGCAGAAACGTTCCCTACTAAAGTCCAAAAAAAGGATGGTGTCCTGAGTATGGCAGCCGTGATTTAATGAACCTGATAGACGGCCATTTCTACATTTCAAATGTGCAACCAGTCGTCAGCCAACTGCCAGGGGGCGACGCATAATCATAATCAAGTCTTCATTAAGATAGGCGTGTGATATTACAAAAAATAAATAAATAAATAAATAAATAAGAGTCGATTTATTCAGTTAGCCCTTGGTCAATTTTGCAATCGTAAGTATTCTCCATAGATTTCGTGTCGCGTTAAACTCTTCTCCTACGTTGCTTAAAATTAGACCAATAAAATTAAAGATGTTTTCACTCAGTGGATGACTAACTGTGGTCAGAATATTGATGCAAAATAATAACGATGATGAACATTTTGGCCGTGTCCCTGAGTTGAGCTCATCTCCAGAGATGAAACGACAACAAACAGAGGAAGCCACTGCAGGAAATGGACAGAAATAGATACAAGCATCTACTCCATTTAGCCACTAAAACATCTAGATTTCCTCACGCATTTTTACCTCTGCCAAGGATTTTTCATTGTATTGGACACTAGCATAGTGTACTGTTTCACATAGGTGACACGGGTGTAGCGGATTCCAGTATTCACAGCCAGTCCAAAATAATTCGGCAAATACTCGCGTCGGTGTTCCCAATATTCTGGGATAATTGAATCAGCAATGTTTAAACACTACTCCGACGTTTGTGGAACTCTGGTGTAGTGGTTCCGATAGCTGACTCCCGTGGACGAGGGTACTTACTGATGGGAGTAGAAACAATGCGCACCACTTCACTAGTTTGAACAACACTGGTGTAGTGCTTGACGCTGCTCATGTTGGTTGGAGTATCTGGTCCATGTTCAAACGTACCCATCCAGACCTCTCCGAAGCAGCCCTGGCCCAGCTTGAGCTCCAGTCTGAGGGACTCTCGGGGGATCTCCCATGCGTCCTTGGCGAGACCTTGCGTCTGAGGTTTGACCGTGGGGCAAACGGTGGTGAGCTTGTGGCAGAGGCCGTCGGCATGCTCTGAAATATCGGATGAGGGAACCTCCGTCATTATTACGCACGCATTCACTTAATACAGTCCACTGGGATTACCTCTGAGCTGAGGGGCTACGTGTCTCACTGTATTTCTGACTACAGTACATCATGACATACCCATGTAGTGTTTGACAAGTTTCTGCAAGGTGTCAAACTGCGCTCGCGTGGTGATGTAGTACCCTCCGCTGTCCAGCTTGCGGATCTTGTAGTGCTTCACGTTGTCGCCTCTGCTTTCGTCCCAGTCACGGATAGAGAGAGAAAAAGCACCTGGACACCGAGACCAGCGGGATACAATTCACTTGAAAACATGTAAGCAGGTAGCAGAGAAAGTGGACCGTGAAGTCGTCACCTTTGGTGGTTTCACTTTCTCGCGCCAGGAACGTCCCTCGATGATTCCCTGGATTCAGAAGTAACCTCTCTGCGTCCTTCCGGCCCATTTTACCAAAGTACCACCTGGGAAGACCGACAAGAAGTAACCAGATAATTTGGGCCTGGTGGTTAAGATGGAGAAATGAGCTTTTGAACTGAAACATTTTGCGGCCAACTGGTAGTGTCAGAGAAATGCTGGCGTAGTGGTTTACATTGCTTTTTCCGGAGTAGAGGGCTACCGATGTCGTTAGGTCATCAACATGAACACATTGCTCCAGCGTTTCCTAAACTTTTTCCAGACTGGTCTTGAGATTTCCACAGCTTCAGTGTGGCATTGGGCTAACCCACAAACTTATTGACACCACAGCAAATCGATGGATGGTGTCGTGTGTCACTCACGTGGCGTCTTACTTACTCTTCAGCCTGTATGGAGTCCGCAGGGGCGACGTAATTGCTGGGGATGTAACCTTTCTTCCCGCTGGTGATGGAACGAGCTTCCCACCAATCTCCTTCCCTGCGGAGGGAATCGGCTGTCAATCAAGCGCTACACTTTCGCTCAGGTGGCCACACGTCCGTTTGTAGTTGTTATGGGGGGACACAATCGTACGTATTGTTAATGATCTGGAAGCGATCGCCTTTCTTGAACGACAGGTCGTCTGACGTTCTGGCTTCGTAGTCGTACAGCGCCACGAAGAAGGTCACGCCACCTGGAACGCACAAACGGCAGATAGATGACAAAAGTATTGAGACGCACGGCCTCAATCATTTCATAAAGATAGCATCCCGTTGAAGAACCCACTGACAACGTTTGTCCGTAATCCTGTTATCTCCCAGAGAAAAGCAAACGTCCTTTGGGGATCATATCATCCGACGCGGAGGAGGATTACCGACTAAATTCCACCAAAACAAGAGGCTTGCGCGCCATGATAGCCGAATCGCACATCGTTCTCACAATAATTACGGCTTGACAATGGGAGCGTGAGCGCCACCGATGCTCGTGAATTTGTGGGAGTACAAAGTAATGTGTTAGCGCTGTGAGTGCGAACAAATGAAGCTAAAGCAAAGGGTCCCTTTGAATACATTTCTACATTTTGGAAGCTTTCTACTCGAAGAGGCTTGCGCGCCATGATAGCCGAATCGCACATCATTCTCACAATAATTACGACTTGACAAAGGGAGCGTGAGCGCCACCGATGCTAGTGAATTTGTGGGAGTACAAAGTAATGTGTTAGCACTGTGAGTGCGAACAAATGAAGCATAGGGTCCCTTTGAATACATTTCTACATTTTGGAGGCTTTCTACTCGGATAAAACCACATCTGGTTGTGTCAGCTAATGCGCTCACTTCACGGCAATGACGCATCTGGGAAAGTTCGTGTCACCCGTATCTCAAACCACCAGTGTACTTGATTTTTTGACCTACTTGGGACAGAACCAGAGAAGGAGTTTGACACGGGGCCGGTGAAGGAGGACGCCCCCCCGAACGGGGTCATCCCGGTTGAAGATCCCCCGAAGGGCGTGAAGGCAGAGTTGAAATTGCCGGCGCAGGAGGAGGCGGAGGGTGCTAGACTGGGCTGGAGCTGGGTGGGATCAGGCCCGTAGTGGCCCACGTGGGGTGTTGCCGCGGCAGCATTGGGCTCGGACAGCGAAGGGTTCTCCGGCCCGTACTTGATGGCGGAGCCTTTGTCCTCTTTACTCTCGACGCAGCCCATCGCGGTGCCCTGCTGTGACAGACACAACAGCTCATAACGGCGAAGGATTAAAGCGCAGCCTTCGTGACACGCAGGGCCCAAAGCTGTCGCAATATGTCCATAAAATCAAATGTCATGCGTGTCCTAACATTATCTCCCAAATCACTCTTGTTGTCGCTAAGACGATAAGCCGTGTGGCAACTGGGACATATGGGTAATAAATCCCTTTTGAACCAGTTCCGCCACCAACTGGTGAGAAAGGATGCAAACTTCAAAAAAAGCTACAATGCTCTCAATTATGCTCCAGTTCCTCTTTCTCCCCAAGTCATTAGCAATTTACTAGACAATTTCAATCATTTAAATGGTAATCGAATTTTGGGGTGTCAACTGCACAGAAAAGATGCAAACCTGTAAAACATCTGTGTCACCACGCCACGATTCTCTTTTTACACTTACTTTCTATATTGCACAGAGAATAGAAACGCTGCTTGACCATGATTAACTCATTCACTCTCAAAGACGTTTTTAAACGTCTTTTCAGACTTGGTCTAGAATTGCCTGGTACTGAATGAGTTTTAAATAGTATTTCTAAAAGATGACATCACTTCAGACAATTTCAGCCGACGTTGCATGGTGGTCACTTGTTGCCAGGCAGAACTCATCAGCGAATGAATAAGGTGGCATATAACACTGACCCCTGTTTCATGTCCTCATAGGGACATATCTCAATGAGAGGGAGGCCCTTTATAAAATATCAAACTGAAGCAAGCGTTAAACATTGCAGTGTGTTTCTTACTGTGGTCGCCTCCGAGGACCAGTGCCCGACCGCACTGTGAGCTTGAAAACATCAGACTGGCTTTCATTTCGCCTTCTGGCATTAGTGGCATTCTTCTCTGACACTCGCGAAAAGAAAGTCTAGAAGGGTAAGGGGAATGAGGCGGGGGCTGGGGTTTGCTCGGATTGATTAGCCAAGCATGGCCGCCGAGGGTTAATTGGCAGGCGGCACGCTGTTGATTCCAAGATCAATGTGACGTGCGAAGGGGGATATTTGCCAAGTGGTGGTTTCGGGGAAAGGCGCGAGGGGGAGTTCACGGGGTTCTCGCAGCTGTACTGCAAAGGAAACCATAAGAGTCAGGATCACCCACACCCTCCTCCCCCTCAAAAAAGAAAAAAAACAGTTGATTCTGCAGGTCGGGCCGATGATGGTTAAAATGTGCCAACATCACCAGATGGACCGAGAAGGAAGATCACCAGAATGGAGGATTTGCTTTAAGAGGATCATCATAAAAAACTAAATCGAAAAAAATAAAAAGAAGCTGAGCTCCTATTTATCATGACACAATGAGTTTCAATCCAATGACCCATTTTTGGGGGGCAACCCGTCAGTCAGACTCCATAACTATCAAATTTAGAGTTTCAAGTCCCAAAAGGAGACATTGAATGATCATGAATCCAAACTACATCGTGTGGCCATATGTAAGGGGGCGCGAGTGCATAGAGTGGAGGTTCCCCGGGTTCACAAAATTACCGCATTAGTCGTTTCAATCTGTCGCTTCTACCTTTTGAGTTCCTTTGCGCTGAGCTTCAGGTTCAGTCATTCAGCAAATTTGTGATATGACAAAAGCCATCTTTAAAAATCCAGTCGATTGCATCAAAGTGCATTAATAAGCCGGGGCAGCACAAGGAAAACCCACCTCGCTCTAATTATTATTGGAACGCATTCTCATTACCGACAACATCCCTTTGGCCCGAGGGAAGGCGACCTACTACCCTGCTTTGCATGCAAACGCCCAACAAAAGACACAATAGCTGAGGAAGGTGAGGAGTTGATGAGAGAGGAAGTCTTCGTATAATCAAACGCAATAAAATGGTACTGTACATGTTAGCTCCTTCCTTTATTTGGATGTTGTATTGTATTAGCGGTAATACGGATACGTGTCAGTTCAAAATGAGGTCACCTCCAATCGGTAGCATGAATGTCGCTACTCTCGGAGTGTTGAGAGGGCTACAGTACACACTGCATATCCCGCTGAAATGCAGAAGCTAACTTTCCTAAAAGTAAATCGTAGCACCACTCAAGCAAAAGTACATCATTGGCCAAAAGCTAATTGACGCTGCTAATTTTGCCAGCCTGGGGAGCCGTTCCCTTCCAAGCAGTTTCGGTTGTGGCTGTTTGATTGCTCCCTCTTGTGTTTTAGTCCTCAAGATGAAACTTTGTTTAAGAGAAAGCGGAAGACATCTGCCAAAACAACAAAAACAATGTCCCACCCGCCATGCTAGCATGCTACATTCATGCTCATACATGTGAATGATTGATGGCAAAGTACCAGCATTGAAGGCCGCTAACTTAGCGGTTGGCATTTGTTCCGATAAGTGTTACTCTCATAAATTAGCAGTTTTTCGTGTCTTTTCGGACGGCTTTTATCAGCTGACGCTCTCAGGGTAGCTTTTTGCTGCCCAACAGATGCTGTGTCGTCGCCGCTCCTTCCGCCGCATTTTTGTTGCATTTATTTATTTTACACAAATGGTTGTGTGTGAAATAGTGACTTCCAGGTCGATTCCTTGCTCAACTTTCATTGCTCACCAAAGCATTGCTTGTAAAAATTCTGATTTGCTTTGTTTTGAATGACACGATCCCAGAGTGACCCTATATCAACAAATTACATTATATATATTTGGGGAGACAAGGTTGCGCCTTAGGTTTCTGCGTAATAAATTATGAGACCAGTGTTACTCGTGCACAACTGATGTAAATGCTTACTTGCTGATGACATAATTTAATCAGCAGGCCAATTAATCGGTTGGGCCCTACCATGTCCATCTGTCTGTCTGGATAAATGCTGCAGTTAAACTGGCATTTGTTTCGGGTCTGTGCAAGAAACAGGGAAGCCCTGTCAGGATATTGGCTTCAAATGTTTCTTGACTTGCACAATAAAGCACTCAGAAATTGGCAACCCCCCTCATAAATATATATTTTTGGGCCCCGAGCCACGTTTTGGGAATCCCATATTGAGCGTAGCATTGCATTGGATTGTCCCAAATGCTTTTAGATGAATGATGAATTCAAGATGTGTACATGTCCCAATACTTAAGTCACATGTGCTGCATACTGATGACTTCTTTGTTGATGCCAGGCCCACCCTCACGTGACAAAGACCACTTTGCATTTGTCCTTACCTTCCTTTTCGTGGCTCTTTGCACCGCTTTTCTTCTTGTCTGTTAGTCACCCAAATGGAAAAAGGAGGGGGAAAAAAGAGCTATTCCAAGCGGAAGCGATCCGCCTTCATCGTGCGCGCGTGCACCACTGCTGTTAAGTAGAAAGCAATGTGCTGATGAGGTACAAGCATGCTCCAGCAGCTCAAGTCAGCTCGTGCTGGCGTCGGCTTTGGACGCTGACGCCCTGGCGCGGCTCGGCAGCAGCATGTCCCAACTTACGCAGGCCTCTTTAGGCGAGCAGAGGCGCCGACGTGATGGCTGGGATTTATAGCCGGGCCCGTTCTGCTGCTGCTGCTGCTGCTGCTGCTGCTGGAGGACAACATGCACAATGAAGGAGGAGGAGCACCCGCACACTTGCACACGCACACACACACAAAAAAGACGCTGACGGAGGGAGGACTCAAGACGCCCGTTGACATAAGTGGAGCGTTGGCGACCTCAGATGGAGGTTCGCAGACAGCACAACTACGAGAAATGAGCCCCGTGCCAGTTTGAATGAGTAGGAAAAAAATGTGAGTCCTCACTTTTCCTAAACAGTCATGGCGGAACTCAGGCGCAGCTCACTTTCGGAGTGAGGATCAAACCGGCTGCTTTATTCCTGTGCAGAGTTCCACAAATATATTGTGTTTTATTGACGCTAGCAAGCAACAAGCACAAAGAACGTCTTTTTGCGCATTGTATACGTTTGATCACCCCCCCGGGCCCCTGTTTCCAACCTTAGCCCGTTTTCATAGACAATCTCAAATCGTATAACTGGCCTAATCATGAGCCGATTTGAACATTCTGAGGCACGAGGCTTCAATGAAGACTCCAAAGAGCGGCAGCTGTGGCGACTTCTATAAAAAGCGTTGCTGCTAAAATTAGAGTTCTGAAATCATTACTTCCATACGACAGCTTTATTTTCGCTCCCGTGTACTAACTAAATCATTGTCATTTTACTGGACGACATTGCTCATTGACTTCAGATTTCATTAATAAAAACGATCATGCTCGCTTTTGATTGACATTTTCATGTGAAAATATGTTTATTAATGCACACTGAGAGCTCTCAGTTCGTACAGTATCCTGGGAGACGATATGTGGATGTGAATAGACCTGCAAAGTGTGCCTCATGTTTGGGCCGTGCAGTGCACCGTCCTCCTCAGGCCACTTGGGTGCAGTGCTTCTCCAGAATTAATTTTTCCATTTCACTGCGGTATTGCAAAAAATAATGAACGTATTGCACTTACAGTACTGTACCATGCAGTACCGTAAAATTTGACCTAAATGTTTTAAACGCTGTCACTTCTTGAACATGTAAAGCCATGTTTTGATCTGAAAAGTTGAATTCAACTGAGTTGTACCGGGGATTCTTTCATCTACCACTAGAGGGAGCCCGTGTACCTCTAGTGTGACTAGTAGTACACTTTGAGGATCACTGTGATCTCGTATACTGTATATATTCACGTAAATCTGGAATTGTACGTTTATTGTTTGCATCTAGTCATGTTCCATGTGTTTTTCTTTTTTTTTTTTTTTTTTAATGATTAAGTGCCAATATAAATCTCAATTAGCTCCCACAGAGTAACTTATATATGGTGGCACTATGTAATTTATGATCTAAGCCTATGTAGTAAACTCCTCCCAACTAATGACGTAACCACTTTAGTGCAGATAAAATCATTTTAATAATTCATTCAGGTATGAAGTGTGTTTGCTGGTGTAAGAAATGAAGCTTGCGTTTTGACATCTTAGCAAATCATTCTACCAATATTATTAATTTATAAATGTGTGGAACTCATGCGGTTGCTATTAAGCCTTTTGTCCTGAGCATGACGCAAGAAGTGGGCCGACACCACTTGCCAAAGTCACTGGCTTCGAGCAATAAATTTCAACTCGTTATTATTGTCGATGATTTTCCTCATTCAAGTTCAGGGCATTGTGAAGGGGCTCAGAAGTTACTTGCATTGGATTGCCTGGAAATTGATGTATTTATCTTTGGATGGCCTCAAATGTTAAATTGGTCATTGTAGAGAAAGGGAAAGTGCTTTGCAGCATGCCAGATATTTACATATAAAATTAAAGCGCCATGGAAAAAAAATAATCTCCAAATTAGAGAAAAGAAAAAACGACCCCAGAACATCCTTCTCGACTATTACATAAACACATCTCTCCAGCAAGGCCACACAAACTCTACAGAGTGTAAATGATTAATAACCACATTATTATTATCCTTCAAAGATTTGATGACTCACATCCTAACGTGGAACTGTTTTGCATTTCAGCACTCCTCTTATTAGCCCCCATCCAAACAAATGGAGGGGCGCTGTACCGAAACGGGCCGGCCGGACGGAAGGATGGACGAACTCCAGCGGGACTTGATGACGTGGGCACCTCCCTCCCATCCCGCCCTTCCACCTTCGCGACCAGTGAAGGCGGCATAAAAAAGCAGGCAGAAGCAAGAGCAGAGAGAGGGACACGCACACTCCCAAAAAGTTGCCTGGAACGCAAATGTTGGGAGGAGGACACGGCGACGCTACGGAGGACACGAGACACCCACAACCAGAAGAAGAAGAAGAGGAGGAGGAGGAGGAAAGAGGAAGAGGCGCTTGCATCCCACTCCCGCGTGCACAGGGGCTCTTCCACCGGTAAGCAGAAAACAAGACACACTTTTTTTTTCTTTTTCTTTTTTTCTTTTTTCAAGCTGGGACAGCTGAGAAAAAGTCTGCTTGAGCGTGTGTCACTGCTTTGCTGTTGCAGCAAAATGTCCAGCAAAGCCACGCTTGCCTTGCTCATCTACGGCATCTTCATGCGGCACAGTGCCGGCAGCGGATCGCACCTGGGGCTCGCCTTTCCGCACGTCACGTACGTGGAAAACACTTTGACTCTCTGTTACTATTTATGATTCATTTTTACATATATTTTGATTTGTGTATTTTTCATTTTATTTTGACCAATGTTACTTCCAGCAGGCAGTTACTGTAAACAATCCCCCAAGTTTCATGTTTATCTTCACTTTTAAATGTGCCCCTTTTTTGCCTTTCGAAATAGTTCTTTTTAAATCCTATATAGTTTTTTTTTTTTTTTTGCTTGTTTCCTCGAGTCATTTACATTTAAATTCCCCCCCCAAAACCCCCACTAAATTCCACCTATTTTTTACATTTTAAATTTTATTATTTTACTTTGTTGCTTGTCACATGTATCTTGTAATGTTCACTCTATTTCTAATTTACTTTTTGCAGCTTCCCTTGTTTTTTTTTTTTTTTTTTTATATTTGTAAATTTTTTTTGTCATTCATCCTGAGTTTAATGTCTTTTTCTATGCGTGATTTCATTGGGCAGCAAATCCATACTAAATGGCCACCAAACATCCACCAGGGAGAGGCAGCGACAGTAATGGGATTTACATTTGCATGCATGCCCAACCACTGAATGGCTAGCCCACCGATCCGGGGGCGGGGGAAACAACCATCCTTTTTCATAGATAATCCCATTTTCATATTTGCACAGGCAGGTGTCCCTAATAGAGTGGGCACTCGTGTAACCAAGAGAAAAGATGGATTTGAGATTTAATTGGAATGTTTATTTATTTATTTATTTACTTTTTCTTTCCTTCTGTCCTGCTGCTGTTTGCAGGCTTGAGGGTGAATTGTACGACGAAGACGGGAACTCGCTGCCGCCATTGGATTACGATGGCCAGGAGGTGCGAAGTCCATCCATGGGGACACAAGACCAAGACGTCTACTCCCTGTTCTACCCGCCGCCCGACAAGAGGTATGCACCATTAGCACATGCCAACAGATGCTTTGTTTGAGTCTGTAGCCGGGTGATTTATTTATTGCATCATTTTTTTTGTTTGTTTTTCGGGATGGGAGTTTTATTGAATTATTCAGTTTTAAATTTTTATTCGACATTATGCTAAGGACATTATCCCATTTTAGTTTTTCTATTTTTTCTCTTTATTTTTTTTTTCTCATGACAAATTGAGGAATATTACTAAATTCGATTTACAAGATATCAAATGTTGGCAAAAAAAGATATGTATTATTCTTGGGGGCGGGGGTATTTCCAATCATAAGGGAAATGTGAAAAAGAAAGTTACGTTCAAGGCCTTTCGCAATTGTCATTTGTCTTGTATTGTGTGTGCGTGGTGTCCAGAACGGAACGGCACGCAGACGGCATGTTCAACAAAGCGTACAGGAAAGCATTGGGTCAGTTGTCGGCCAGGAAATATCTCCATTCGCTCATGGCCAAGCGGATCGGGTAAGACGACGGTGGCGTGCGTTTGTGTTTCTTTGCACTTGTGCACTCCACTTGTAACACTACATTGCAGTGTGTGTGTGTGTGTGTGTGTGTGTGTGTGTGTGTGTGTGTGTGTGTGTGTGTGTGTGCGTGTGTGTTGCGTCATTATGCGCCAGCATGCTGCTCAATCTGTCCTGTCATTAATATCCTCTCTCGACAGTGTCGTCTGTCTGTCTGTCAGACATTTCTTAATTAATTTTATTTTTTTAGTTCATCTCCCTGTCTAAGCTACCAACATATGTAGCAGCGTACCATAAGTTTCTGAATTACTTCCATGACATTACTACCTACCTACCTACTTATGTTCACCTCCTTACTCAACCTAGCTACCAGTCCTACATACCTACCTACCAAAATTCTCTCTCTTTCTCTCACTCTCTTTGTCTCTCTCTCACACTCTCTCGCTCTCTCTCCGCATGTGTTCCGACGTAGCGGCGGCAAGGTGATGGAGGACAACGGCGAGCCGCTGTCCAAGCGCCACTCGGACGGCATCTTCACGGACAGCTACAGCCGCTACCGCAAGCAGATGGCGGTCAAGAAGTACCTGGCCGCCGTGCTGGGCAAAAGGTACAGACAGAGAGTTAGGAACAACAAAGGACGCCGGCTGGTTTACTTGTAGCATCGCCCCAGGCCCCCTTTCGCATCACTAGCGACAACGTAAACATGTCAAGCGCTTTTTGTGTTTATTTATGTATGAAGGAAGCCATTAAAAGGAATATTTTGATAATAATACTGTTTTATTGACTACTTGAAAAGCACTTGGGCACGAGCGTGTGACTTACTTCCAGTGGGGATGTTTTTGTTTGTCTTTTAAAAGTTTCAAGGGGGAATAAATGCTTTAAAAGACAATCACTGTGCCGCTGTCTATGACATTAAGCTGCTGTAGTTGTGTCGTTTATCCACAACAGACTTGAAGACGTAGATTTGAGCGGTGTCGACTTTGACGCCCTCCTGGACGGGGAGGACTTTGAGGCTTTTTGGGGGGACTGGCTCAAACTGCTCCCCCCGAAATACCTGGTGAGTCATTTTTTTGGGGAAGGTGGGGCTTTGGCTCTTGTGCCCCCCTCCCTTGTCACCTCGTACTCTGTCCTTTCCTGAAATTTCTTCATCCATCCTAAATCTGAGGATCTCTTGAGTACCTTTGTGGGTCTTTGGGTCCTTCTCTCCTTCCGCAAGTGAGCTTAAGCCTTCCGCTGTTGTTCAGTGCCAATCTTGTTTGTCTATGTGGAAACAAAACAAAAAAAACGTTCTTGTGGGTTTAAACATGTCTCTCTCTGACCATATAAGAAGTATCTATCTGCTGATGCTGACAGTTTTTAATGTTATTCTTTTTAAACTGTAACTGCAGTAGCACTCCAGCAGATTGTCGTGACTAAAAGTGAAATTCGCCACCCTGATCCGGATCTACTTGAAAATGTTATAAATTCTACACTGGCAATTCCACCATCTTCAAAGTTTGTCAAAACTATAGTTTTTTGTTGTTGTTTTTTTTTGTCATCTTACCAATCAATATTCGAATGGCATTCAAACAATAACTTTTTAAAAAGATGTATCCTCTCTCATCGCTGACGTGACTATTTTAAAACTACTGATGTAGTTCCACTCCAGTCCTGTAGGAGGCAGTAATGTTGATCACTAAGCGTTTAGCGTCACTCCAAACAGAAAACTTGATTTACAGATGCATCTCCTGCATCCGGTGGGGCCCTCCCTGCCCCGATGCAAGCAGTCCTAAATTTGCAAAAGTGAAAATCTGCACCTTGAAGCAGATCTGCTTCAAATTCAAGTTTTTTTTCTTTGCCCCCCGTGCCAGTTGTTCTGTAAAGCGTCTCAATGATCTTTTTCGTTCGCCTGAACTAATTCTTGACTTAGCCGAAACCAAAAGATGATACTTGTTACATGGTTTTTCCTAGAGAGAGACACATGAGGGTGGCACCTTCTGGTTCCGCTTCTGTGCTTCCTTTTCTCATCTTTTGTTCCCAACAACTGTGTTTAATAAAAGGAAAAAAGTCAAGAAATTGAAATGCATGATTAAAATGAGTAAAAAAAAAAAAAAATGCACTGACTCACTGCAACAAACAAATGCACACACACACACACACACACACACACACACACACACACACACACACACGCACATCTCGCATCTCCTGACTGCATCGTCACATGAATGTTGAACGGCCGACCGAGAGGCTTTTAATGTCCAGCTTGACATTTTGACTTAATTTGATTTTTATGATCGTGTACGAAGACAAACTGTGAAGGAAAAGCAGTGAGACAAAGTGGAAATGTTGTGCCGGGATGTTCTTTTCTTTTTTTTATGTTTTTGTGTTTATGTTTTCATGTTTTTTTGTTTTTGTTGACTGCTGTGCACTCTCCTCCAGGCTTTGTGACGCAGGAAGCAGTTTTAGCGGCTGTTCGCTACCTTGCATCAATTTTTTTTTTTTTTTTTTTATTAAATGGCCCTGAATGACAGATGGCCATTTAAGAGGCCCTACAATGCTGCACATCATCAGTTCACATTTCAAGCCCACACTCCATCCATCAACCCAATTTTTTTTTTTTTTTGCTTGATTGCCCTTCACACAGCATTTTTCTCCCTCTCTCCTTTTTTTTTTTTTTTTTTGTGTGTTTGTTTTCAAGTGGAGGCAAGGAAAACGTCCCACGTATACGATACGAGCCAATAGCCTTACGAAGATGACATTCAAAAGATATATTTAGACTTACTGTGCAAAACGTGATTATTCTGATCGTTATTATTCGACGAGCTGGTTAAGTGTTGTAAAATTTTGTTGGAATAAATTTTTGTAAAGAACAAAACAATGCTCTGATCTTTGATCATTTTATGCGATTGTGGAACGCTATTGCGTTCAAGTGAAGGGGGTTAAGTCCTAATGTCTGTTTTCCACGGTTCTGTGAGTGACGTCCCCCTCAAATCTGCACACGCTTCCAGTTGGGGGACAGCATGAAAGTTGGGGACCCCACACTTTAAACCTCCCATCAAGAATGTTGGCACCACTCAAAAATGATTGCGAAAAAAAACCCATCACGGTCACACACGATCTCGGTTCAACGGAGAGGCTGCAGTTGAATGTTGATGATGTCTTCACGGCACACAAAGACTGCTCCAGTTAAAAATCTTCACACGAAAATGAATGTGGCCATGTCCCTTATATAAATTTCCAAATAATTTTGACAAACAAACCAACGGCATTCAAAATAGAACTTCTCGCACTTGCTTTTGTTCCACAATTACTCAAATATTGTGATTGTGATGCACCGACGAGCCACATGCTGCGTCACCGTGAGCCCTGATTGCAAGCGGCAGCTCGTTCCGGTAGGTGATCAAATCAACAATGAGCTGATCGAAGATGTCATCTTAGTGGTGATGTGGGAGGTCGGAGGGGGGGTCCCCACACACCCGTGGAGACCCCCAGGCACGACCCCTCCACCTGGGTGAGCCTTGCAATGCCATTTAAACAAACGACCGCCCACCTACGAGTGACATCTTGTTCCCCCAAAAGTGTCAGCCCCAATTACATATCCTGACAGTTTAAAAAAAAAAAAAAGCCCTGGCGACTCAGACAAGCTTCGATTGGGTGGGCTGTGCCCGATTCGATCCCACGCCCTCTCCTCCCTCGTAACCCAATCAGCCAGCATTGCCTAGCAACCGTTCTCCAGTAGGATGCGACGACCAAAGATCACGTTGGATAGATTTCAGTCGGGTGGCTTCCTGTCTAGGCGGCCTTCAGTGAGATGTTGTGTTACGCACTATGAGCGCTAAAAGGACTGGAGGCTTTTGCCACACACCACAAGGTGATAAAAGCAATTATAAAGCAGCCCTTGCTGAGGGAAGCCTCATTAAAATGAAATCAAAGGTGTTTTTTTGTTTTGTTTTGATTTTAAAGAACAGAATGGAGTAGGTCTTTTATTTGTCCCACACTGGACAAATTTACAGTTTTACAACAACAACGTGCAAGCACACAAGAAGAAAATATCAAACCAAAATGGCAGCCTTCCTGTGTCTTTTCAGGCATGTCTTGAAACTTTTTTTGTGGGTCGACTCATGATTGGAAAACCGAACAAATTTAATGTTGCCAAGTGATGCTAGCATCGGGGGAAGAACTTTCAAACAAGTCTGGACAGCACGACCGAAAGTTGACTCCGAAAATGGCCGCTTCAAGCCAAAATGGCAAAATGACATCCTGTGACTCTTCAGGCACACACACACACACACACACACACACACACACACACACTCAGGTGATGACCAGAAGTGCTAATCAGAGATGAAATCTTCCCAGCGTTACACTCTGGAGAAATTAATTTCTGTCACATGTGGTTAGACACGCTGGCTGCAGTGGGAATAGTAGACCACATGAGGAAAAGTGTTGGGACAGTTTACTCCTTACAGAGGTGCCCGCAGTCTCCTCTTGGATAAAACTTAACATGGCATACCGCTCTCTATTTTGCTACAAATGCCTGTAACTCTCCTGTCAGATCAGATTTGTCTCCTTAGCAGATAAAAATCACCATAGCCAGCATTGAAACACAAAGACTAAGGGGGCATTCACACTTTTGTGTTTGGGCCGCTTGAAACAGACCAGGGTTCGTTTCCCACTCTAGTCCGGACCTTTTAAGTACAGTAGGTGTGAAAACCCACAAACGAATCCTCAGCCCTTAGTCTTCTCTTGGATGAAAAATAGTCTCCTTCGATTTAGCCACATGAAATAGTCCCTCGCTCTCTCCAATTTTGTTGTTCGTTCGTTCCAAATGATTCCTTCAAATGCGGCGTGTTTTTTTTTTTTTCTCCCGCAGTTTCATGCACGACTTCGCAGCGGAAATGAGCGATGGCGTCGTCGCTAATGTATCTTTCATCCTTGCTCCAAAATAGAGCGGCTATGTTTAGCCACTCGCACTTCATCTTTGTCGACTGATCACGAAATAAAGACTCACCCCCTAACCCCCCCAGCCCTCCCTGCAGATTTAACGCCATAGCTGTTGAGGAATGGGTGCACAGCTGCCAAATCACACCGACATGACATACAGCAAAGTCAATATTTCACTCAGCAGCAGTGTCTGTCTCAACAAGGAGTCTCCAAACCGTACAGCAGGTTATTCACAGTGAAGCGTTTCCAATGCCTACTTGTTCTAATCACGCAATACTTGGCTAACCAATGATTCTCCGCTTTTCTTTTGTAGCTTCCGCACTCTGGCCAAGCTCAGCCCAGCTCCAGCGATATCTATCAACAGCAATTTCTCCACAAATCCCCACCCGCCGAAGCTGTTTAGCAAACCCCATCAGGTCGGCGCGTTTTCTTTCCACCGCTCCCGACCAAATCTATGAGGTGAGTACGACAACATGGGATGTTGTAGTCCCGTGAAACATTCAGTGTGAATATACTCCAGGCTGTTCAGGATTTAAAAGCGGTTTTGTCATTTATACAATCACAAAGTGTGGAGCAGATCCCAGCTAGAATTGCCCAATTATATGGACGGAAAACCTCACTCCTCTGAGCTATCACATGGCGCAGGCCTTTTACCAGCTTATAGCGCAACAGTCCGTCGCATTCCGCTTCCCAGCTAACGGCGAGGTGGTGGCACGGGTTTGAAGCCCGAGTCGGGGGATGGTGCATGAACACCATCGGCTGCCCCTCCAAAGGTCACCGGACGCCCCTGATGTGCAAGGTGCCACACTTGGCGCTCACCGTGTTGTTTTCCTGGTGTCTGCTCGCGTCGTGTTGTTTTCACGCAACCTCGATTGTGATGGCAGATGTCAAGGTTGTGCTGGGACCCAAAAGGCTTCGTTTGTTGACTTGAATGCGGGAAAGAAACCCTGAGAAATGATCCAAATGTTGATGGACAACATGCCTTTTTTCTTTTGTGTGAAATTTTGACGGGATGAAAACGTCAAAGAAAGCCCACAATGTCACCAAAAAAGCAAACGTTTGCAGGAATCAGCTTTGATGTTTTTGCTGACTTTTTTTTTTTTTTTTTTGTCTGAGGGACGGCGCTGCTTGCGCTGCTGGAGTGCGAGAAATGGATAAGATTGAATGGTGGGGGGTGGGCATAGAAGTCTAAGGGGTACGCTTGTAATTGAATGATGTTCATTAATCAGCTTCATTAAAGTTGGAGTGGCGGGCGACACATGCTCGGCGCCTGATTCATTCCGTCGTTCCACCGTTTCTGTCCAGGCCATCGCCAACCCATCACTTGCATTTGGAAATGTCGGTACATTTTTAAAAACATACATCCAAAAATACAAATGTCATGAAGTGACTAAATGTTGAATAAATAAATGGAAATTAAAAACAGTAAATGATTAAGATAGTCATGCATAAAGTATATACATATGAAAATGTGAAGCACATTGAGTTACCTTGTGTATAAAATTTGCAATAAAAAGAGTCCTTGCCTAAAAATGTTATATTAAAAATGCTACATGCAGTACATATAATTAAATGAAAAGATATTTTTAAAAATCATAGTTTCAAAAATCCATTAAATAAACAAAATAATGCAAAAACAAATACAATACATTATTAGTTGGGGGGGGGGGGTTTCCTCTTCTTCACATGCAAGTGAGGCTCTTCCTCCACTGTCTGCGTATTTGAAAAGAAGCAATATTTTGCGCCGCTTAAAAGAAAAGCCGTTTTGTTGGCCCCTGATTGGAACGAAAGCTCAGCGGGTAGACAAGCGCTTCAAGCAGCGACAGCCCGCGGGAGGCTAATTGTGCTTTGGCATCGCACACGTTGACAACGGTGAGGCTTGCCAGCTCGCTGGCTTTCTCCCGTGGCTTCACCTGCAAGCGGCCTATCGTGCTTACAAACAAAATGGCAAGGACAAAAGTTGTTCTTCAAAATATAATTTATTTGAATACATTTTAAAAAAATACACTGTGATATGTGATGTGAGTGTGTGTGTGTGTCTGTAGCCGTAGCCTTGATGGGAATTCAACAGGAGAGAATCCAGTGAGGGAAATGCAATTGAAGGAGACGTGTCGCACACTCACTCCCCGTCGGACGGGGCCGCGAGGGCGCGCTGACACACTTCCCGCACGGCGCTATCGCACAATGGCTGCCTTTCATCTCGCGCCGGTTGCCAGCATCCTGTCAGCTTCAAAGACCCACTCAGGTCTTGTCCCACCTTGTCCTTCCCAGTGGACCACATCCACACCTTTGTTGTCTACTCGTACAGTATATCGCACTGCTCCCTCCAATTACGAGTCACCCCCAACGTAGGAGATGCTCAGCAGATCTTTGTCCTGAGTTGCGAGCAAAAAGTTAAGATCCAAATACTCCACCGGCTGCGTCAAAACCAGCCCATAAGGAGGTACAATCCAGCCTATGGCCATAGGACACAATACAGCCATTGCAAATGTTCAATCAAAGTCACTGTTGTTGCTAATTTTGTCCACTTGAGGTGCACTGTTGACCTCTTAAATAACATTCTGATTCTCAGGATTGGACAAAATAAGCTTTTACTTCATTTAACACCTTCTCCAATTTAGTTATCTGCTATTGACCGAAGGTGATGTCCAAGTGCCCTCGGGCTCGCATTGCGAACATCACCTGACCAAACCCAGAGGAAAACAGGTGTGCTGTGACGTTTTCAAAACAAGCCAGAGGTCACTCGGATTTCCGTTTTGGTCGACAGCAGAGGGTGGAGGAGGACAATTTGGCAGCCCACTGAAATTCTCACACTCATGGGAGCAATGACCAAAAATTGCAGTGGAAACTGCAATTCAAAAAAATCATGTAAAAATGTGAAAACTTCTTCCTGAAAAGAGATGTCACCGCTTTTCTTTGATTTTACGCACTCTTCAATCCTTGAGTCATTTTTTTCCTTTCAATTTAAATCGGAAAAACAAAGAAAAAAAAATGGAAAGAAAAAGTTGAGCGTCAACACTCGAGGAGAAAGAAGTAACACAATGTCTCTTCCTTCCTCGCCTCTCTCGAGTGTTAAGGGCCTCGTTTGCGTCCATTCTGGTGTCGTCATGGCAACGGCGGCGGAGCTGACATGTATGCAAGACTTTGTGTCACGCGTAAACTTGGCCAGACTGGACAAGGAGACCTTTGAAAAAAAAGAAACAAAAAAAAAAAAAAACACTAAATGTGTTTATAGTTGGGATCTTAACGACATTGAATATGAAAGAAAACTTCAGACCGAGATTCTAGGTCTGGACGTGTTTCCATGGCAGCACCATTCTGCCATTCAGGTGAAAGTATTTCAATGCACGCACAACTATGAACTAATAACAAAGGCTCGAGGCCGTAAAAGTGCACGTGTGCATGCTGGAGGTATGCAAGTTGAGTTACCTGGCGACTCAGCCGCCAAAATAAACTCAGAGCAATGTGCTCTGCCATTCAAGCTACGCCCTCCGACGCATACTTTCGAAATCACCACTTAATTGACAATGTCCTCCAAAAACCATTGGGTCAAAAATAACCCAATTATCGGTCAAAACGGGGCCAACCCCACTTGGGTCGATTTGACCCAACTTTTTGGGGCGGGTTTTTCAAAGTTGCTTCAAATGAATAACATACCAAAAAAAAAGTCATGTCATACCAAACAGCCCATTTTTTTTGTTTTTGTTGTGGGTGACTAAAGACTAAATGTATCTATCATACCTTTAAACCTTTCAGGGACAGCGGTTACTAGAGCAGACAGCTTATCATGTCATCAGGTTACAGGTTATCATTATGATTTAGCTTCAATATTCTCTGCGACATGTGTGATCTTTTTGTTTGCGTCCTGCACGCGAGCGACACTGATGTGCGAGGTGAATCATGGCTGGCTTTTATGCGCTAAACTCTCAAACGTCTGCCGAATGAACTCTCTCTTCTTGACGCACGCTTTCTTACGGCAACCGCGGTTTTGGCCACCCACGCTTCCGCTAATTGGCCTCAGAATAATTCCGATCTATTTCCTAGCAGACACGAGCAGGAGCGTGGAAATGACTTTTCACTGCGACCGTAATGAAGCCCAAAAAGGTTAAGGATTGGTGCGCCGGCCGCCGCTAATGACATCCAGCGCGTCCATCTGTGGCTTTTAGCAGCAGTCTCACATGACACAGGAAAATGCTAGCCATCTGTCTCCAGATAAATTAGCTTTTCTCCGCAATATCGCATACATGACGGCTTTAGTGGACACGTTTTCCGAACTCTTGGTTTGTAAAAATGAATGCCAGCCCGAACAGCGTTAAACTAGGACGCACTTGCCTATGCAGAAATTCTGTCGAAAGAATAAAGTCGTAATATTCACATGTATGCTCTGGATGTTGTTCAGATTATTTTAAAATTAAAGTGAAATGATTTGATTTGACTGGTTGGGCTAGCGAATTTTAATTCCCACGATGAGCGAAGACCAAACCACAGCAAGACGGAAACTTGAAGGTTTTGTTTTCTTGCGTAAACTAACAAGACATCTGCGTAGCCGCGGGTCGGCAACAACTCGCTAATTAAACGTTTGCTCGCCGTGCCGCCAGAGTCGCTGCCGGCATTTTGGATGAGATGAAAGAAATGTCAGCGGTTACAACTTTTTTTTTTTTTGTCTTTCCTTTTTTCATCTCTGACCACCGAGTAGCAGCAGACAGCCAACACTCAGAGGGGAAACCGTGCCACCAAATTAGCAAGTTGATTTCCATATCAAAAGAGCGCATCGTTCCAAGGGGGGTCCGGAACGCCACCGGCTAATATCATGGGTGTTACATAAGTGTCGCCTCTCATTCAGCTGAAAAGCGCAGTTAGTTGCCGGTTGCTGTTGTCATCGGGAGTCATCGTCGTCGAGGAGAAATTGCATGGAAAGGACACACGGAATGGAGTGGGGATTTTTTTTGGAGGGGGGCTGGGGGGGGTTCACGAGCACAGCAGCAGCGCTAAATGTCAAAACAGCCTCGCCATCACAAATAGTTTGCTCGCAACACCATGTTTCCAATCAACCTATGAGCCACATGCTGCTTCACCAAAATGTCACATGACTTGATTTATGTTTAGAATATTGATTTTTTTTTTTTATGTTATGAAAATTTCTTTAGAATAATCCCCAATACATGTTAACTCCTGTTTCTTGCATTTCGTGCAAGAGTGCCTAATGAAGTGTCCTGCGAGTGTGGCGCCGTGAGCGTCATTTCTTCCCAGCAGATAAAGAAGGAGACACATAATCAATATTGACTCAATGTGGACTCAATACTGCCGATAAAGGATGTCAGTCGTTGGGAGGATAAATGATGTCGGTCGGTGGGAGGGAGGAAGGGGCCGCAGCGGCACATAAAGTGAGCTGACTGTGCGGTTCATTAAAGCCTTTTGAATAGTTAATACGTGCATCTTATCGAGACGCTTATTTACCGCACGTCGTAAAAGATTGCCGTCGCTTTAATCGTCTTGTTGCCATGAGGACTGCAAAGAGAGATTTTTACTGTCTTTAATTGCATGCGCACTCCGGTCGACATCATAACCAAATTATACACACAAGTGGGGCCGAAAGGACATCGAGGCTTTTTTTTTTGTTTTTTTTTTAATCAACAGATTTGATTTTTTTTTTTTTTTTTTACAGCTATGTAAATAATGGCAACTAATTAAATGGCAAGAACATAGAAATGGTTGAATGAAAAAGAAAGTAAGGAAGGTACGTTACAGCCAAGGAAGCAAGGTAAGGTTGTAAGGAAGCATAAATAAAAAGCGGGTCTGAAGGAAAGGGGAAAAGAAAGAAAAAGATGATAAAACATGTGATTGTCATCGTAACAAATCAATGTTGTTTTTCCACGATGTTGCTAGAACCTTCCAATGATGCTTAGCAAACGGAACCAAGATGAAAAAAAAAAAAAAAAACAATTCATATTCATGACACATTGACCGTCCATTTGTGAGACGTCATCTTAACTGCTTCATTTGGCAAAAGAAAACATGAACCACAAAATTGGTTAATTGCACATTGAAATTGATGACGCTCATTCTTAATTTCTTTTTTGGAGGTGGCAGTGCCACGTCGAGAAAGCCGTCCCGTCACTCAGCTCTCTGGCGTGAAGGCGACATTATTTCATCCGTTTCCTCAGGTTCTCCCATCCAACGGTTTGCGTGACACGACCGAGTCGGCGCACCCCCGAGCGAGCGCTGAGGCCCATCAGCGTTTCTTTCTCCGAAATGTAAGAGAAGCTTTTCTTTTTCTTTTTCTTTTTTTCCTACGGGGGAAAGGTGAACTATTTCCCAAAAGCAGCCTGTGTACCGTCACCTCTCAGAAAAGCTTTTTATTCTCCCCGTGATATGAGATCTTTTTTCCAATTCTGCAGCCTCCCCGATGATGGTGATAACGTTTTCCTACTTTTAGGCTCTGACGAGCGAACATGGCAATCCCACACGATTTATTCTCCTATCCAGCTACTTTTATGAGCGTTGTCATGCAAACTTTTTTTCGCTGAAAAAGACGGGAAAAATGTCTCGAAAGAAGCAGGGGTGTGGTTCCAGGAAAGGACTCATTAATTGTGACATTTGAGGTGGAAGACGGGGGAAATGGGGGTGTCTCACCAAAAGGAGCGTCGGGAGAAATGAAGGTCCAGCTTATTAAAATCCATACGCCGATTATTTGCCGGGTCAGGGCGAAGCTTCCCCGGGCAAGGAGCGAGCCGTCAACGGTGAGCCGTAAAACAATTAACTAAAGGTCATACATCAGAAAGGAGCACATTGGGGAGGAGCAGAGGACAAAGTCGCCTGGAATAACAGCTTGAAAGCTAAAGACATAAAAGATGAAGGAAATGACCCCCCCCCCCCCCAACAAAAAAGGGCGACGTGAAATTGGGGAAAAAAAGTTCAATTGGCAGCACACAACGCTATGAATTACACAAATCAATCTGTCAAGCGGGAAGGTGTAAGAAAATTGACACTTGGGATTGGTGTGCCACAGGGCTTCTGTCGGAGTCCACTACATTATGTGTGCTAACAATGCTAAGTGACACAAACCAGGCACAGATTTTGTTGACTCGACGAGTGCTTTTTTTTCCCCATCTCTTTAGGGTTAGCTGTACAACATGGCTACATTATATATATATTTTTTGTCTGTCCACATCGGCACAATCTGTTTCTATCTCTGCTGGATTATTGGTTGGAAAATGAACAAGTCACCACATTTGATAGTTGCGATCATTTGAGGTTTTGCTGTTTTGACAATTTTCTCATGCTGATGCACATTGAATTAAAACCCACACTTTTTTGTGTGTGTCTTTCAATGACAATATGCCAAATCCACACTGTGATGTGGCTAATGCTAATTAGTGTCACATTTCCACCATGGTTTAATTGAGTCTTGAATTTGCGGTGGCGCTAATGAGGAATGTCTCGGGGCTACAGGTGGTGAGGGAAGAGGAAGTACAGGTGGCGTCTCCTCTAATGATGTCCCCAGCGGATGACTACATTACCCAGCAACGCCTGGGCCAGTGACAGGTGGGTGCTTTGACAGCGGACTCTTAATTACACACACACACACACACACACACACACACACACACACTCTTTTGTGATGATATCGACTTGGCGTATTTGTTATCACATCTGCCTCGCAGTTCCGAGGTTCTGGGTTTAAATCTGTGCTCTGGCCTGACTGTGTTTTCCCCAAGCTTGTGCGGGGTGTACTCCCACTTCCCCCCAAATTCTAACAACACGCATGTTGTGTTCACCGAAGACTAAATTCTCCGTTAGTGTGAATGCCTGTGCCACTTGTTGTCCCGTCTTGTGTTTCTCCAAGTACTCTGTCTTCCACCCTTCCACTGTGACTCTAATGAGGACAAGCTCTCTACAAATAGATGAATGGAAGTGGACGGTCAAAAAGCACGGTTGGTGATGAGCCACATACTGCTTCACTACTCCTACAGACGTTATTATCCACTTGTAGACAGGAGCTTGTTCCGGTACATTTCCAAATGGAGATGGGAGACTGAATTTGCTAATTCTTGTTGTCATTTTTGGACAATGATCTCTCCATCTCGTCAATGCAGTGTAAACAGGCGCCAGTGAGCAAAATCAACTGTTTCCCCTTTTTTGGCCTTGATTTGTGAGGAGGTAGTCAGCTCCCATCTGTTCCCAGACCACTGGGGGCTGTGAGCTCACCAGACAGCCTCCACCGCCAATACGAGACCTATCAAGTCCCGTTTCCGACAGATTGCCTCTTGGGACTTGCTGTTGTTTTCTAAAGTAGTCCATCCATCCACAATTGTGAAACAGTGCTCAACTTCTTTCGACTATTTCCAAATAAATTTTTGTGGTCTAGCATCACATCTCAAATGTGAAGCACTTTGAAGTGATGGAAAAATATAGCCAACGCATTCAATGGCTCAAAACTTGGATATTTTGGGGAACGTTTGGAAAAGCATTCTGTCATTTTAACTTCTGCAAGTTGCCCGTGTTTGTGGAGTGTTTAGCGGCAGGTTGTTTAGATGAGGTTTGGGTAATATCCCATTTTAAATGCTAAGTACTGTGAAGTGATGGAAAAAGGGGACTTTGGGAGGAGCCTTGGGGCACACCACTCGCAAGTAAAACGTTCTATTTATGTCACTTTGAGCCTGTTAAAAACAGGAACTTCGGTAGAGGACATCGTGCATTGCAGTTTCTGGCAGAAATGTGCTCCATTTGGTTAGGGAGTTGTTCATAGGAATGATGTTAAACCCACAAGGTAGTATTTTCTGCGCACCGTATGGATCTTCTGGCCACAAATTAGCCTTTTGTTGCCATGTCCTATCTTAACCTATTATGGCCACAATTTGAGAAAAATATTTCTTGTGTAATGTCTGGGACTCAGTCTGTACTTGACTGTATTCCCACCAACGTCTAGTTGTATTAGCAGTGCCACGTGAATATCCAGTCGATGATGCCGCTGCCGCCACTGCTGCGTAGAAAATTGCAGTCATTCAAAAGTGTCCTCATCCTTCACATTCCCGGCGGTGTTCCTGCCACCTGCCTAATGTTCCACCTCTGCTGTACGGCCGTAACGACCTTTAGTTCTTGCTGGCGCTGTGAAAAGAGTGACACAAAATGTCTTCCCGCCCAATAAATGGTGCTCTGGGAGAGAAAGTGTCGGGGAGTGAACTCTGCATTGTCCAAAGTTCCAATAAACCAACATGTACAAGCAGAATTTGTTTTGTATGATAATAATAAAATGTAATCTAATGAATCAGTCACTTATCTATTATAATTTTTTTAATGGGGTTTCAAAGTAGGGTTTCAAATTGGTTCCAGTTTGAAATTGGGGTTGGGGTTTCAAGTTGGTGTTTCAACATGCTTTGGCATTTTAAAGTGGGGGTTTAAACTCGAGGTAGAGTTTAAAAGACAGGTTTCAAGCCCGCTCTGCCACGCAATAGCGTTGCCTGAACCTTGAGGGAGGTAACATCCTGTCCCGTTCCATCACAGCATCATAGCAGATCAGCAAGCGGCACCCGCCCACTCGCTCATTCGCCCCCTTTCTTACAATTTCAAATATTTGACCCCAAATCGCCCGTGGCGGTCGCGCGTTGCGATTTTTGCAATGAGGTCGCCTGTGAACGACAGCAGAATCTCCCGCATGCTCGCGTCGCTCCGTAATCAGCATTCCCGGCGGCTCCACGCGAAACGCCAACGTGAGAACAGCACATGAAGTGCGAAGGGTGCGTTGACTTGTTTGCTTGAAGAATCGGTCAAGATGCGTGTTGTTATAAAATGCAAACGTGGAGTGGAGTTGTTGCTGTTGTGCAAGCAACATAGCGTCAAGAAAAAAATATTGTAATGTGCATGCCAGTCCACTAGTTGGCGATGGCGCTTTTCAAAGAAAAGTGCATAGAAGCGGCATATTCAAAGAAATTCGATTTTCAAGTTAGGGTTAACATTTTCAGAGGAGGGTTTCGAAGTAGGGTTTACAGTTCGATCCAGGGTGACGGGTTGAAACGAGGCTTATCATTTAATGCCAGCTTTAGGGTTTCAAAGTAGGGTTTGCAGTGGACTGGGAGTGTGTCGTGACATTGTCGGGGGGTGGATGTCGGGGCTGGGGCCGTGTTTGTGGGTCTCGCTGAGTCACTGATAAAAAGAGCAGGATGACACGTCGGCCCAATGCTCTTGTGACAGCATCAAGGCCAGAAAACACCAGACTGCAAATGCGGCTGCACCCGGAAACCCCCGAGTAGTCGGTGAAAGTTTTACCACATAAAATACTTCTCATACCCATACCTTAATTTTTTTTTTTCAAGTTTCTCGGAAGGTTAGGATTTCTTTCCTCTACTACAACTAAATGTAAACAATTTAAAGTTGATGGAGAAAATAAGTGGGCTAATGAGTCCTAAAGATCTGAATAAAGAACTCCCAGTTCATCCTTTCACGTGAGTTTTTGGACCAAACTGCCCCAAAATTCAGATTATATCCTCATGAAATCCTCCATTTTCATCTCAGAAAAATTCAAATGATTTTTTTTTTTTTTTTTTTTTTTTTTTCCCCGTGTGACGGGCGGAGGCCAAGTGACGCTCGAGCAGTCGCTGACGTCACAGGCGACCTTTGACCCAACTTTGCCGGGCCGCAGCCGCTCCGAGCACAAGCGGCATCTTGTTTTATTCAGCGGACGTCAAAACAAAACAAGAGCCTCACGCCTCAAGTAATTTGATGATAATCTGACAGGAAATGCCATTTGCACAAATCAGCTAATGTGGCATTCAATGAGCAAACATGCCACACTGCATTTGGAAGCAAAATCACTATTTACTACTCTCGTATTTTATTTATTTTTTTACATTTTATTCTCATCAGGTTGTTGATTTTTTTTAAATACAAATGTCAAATGTAAACATTTTTATTCTGCCACACATCAAAATGATTTTTTTTTAAATGCAGAAGAAATTTTAAAAAAAGAACCCCACCACCCCCCAAAAAAAATACAAATAAAAATTAAAACGCCAATTTCCTACTCATTACTTTTCTTACAATAGTTTACGAACTTGTCAAAGGCGGCATTTATATATTTACTCCAGCTAACATCATTATCTCATTTGGGACACTAGTTTTTTTATCCATTTTTTTTTATTCGATGAAAGCACAAAAAGAACAACAAACCGTATGTGTTTAATTTCATCATGAGCTCCATGGCTTCTTGTCATCTCATGAAGACAAAGCCCCAAATCCAGACGATGATGTCATTGGGATTATTTATGAGGAGGCCACCAGAGGAACTTCAAAGTCAGCTAACACTCACTTCCTGTCATTTTGAAAAGTGTGTAACATCTCATCAAATTGGCTCCTTTTTTTTTTTTGCCCACAACCAAACGTATCGCATGTAACCTTTTACTCCAGGGGGCGCCATATGCTTTGACGGAAGAGAAACGTGTCATCACGGCAGCGTTGTCGCGATATCGCTGTCCTTTTCCTCTGGTGACCACTTCAAGTGTGGGTTTTTTTTCTTTTTTATGATTATTATGTTGCTCGGGACGCCAGTGGGAACGCCATGAGAACTCTCAAACGGCGCGGACGGAAAAATAAAAATAAATCGAGGCGGGTTTATAGCCGGCTCTGTGTCAATTAACGCCGAGGCTTATCAAAGCCCTTCAACTTTATTAAAATGCGCCGCGCGTGGCGGGCCAATAACCTCTGACAGATTCATTGAATTTTGACAGACAGCTCAGAGCCCCGAAACAAACCTCGGCGGAGAACAGCCACACACACGCACGCGAGGTGGGAAAACTCATAGCGTTAGCCGCACTGCCCGCGCTTAGCGTGTCGTTCATTCAGCCAAGAGTCGTCGTCGAGCGTTTCAAAATTTCTACTCGGTGTGAGTTGTCCTCTTTCTAGGAGGTACGACAAAACTTTAAAAAAATTATCCAGTTACAAGCTCTTGCTTGGTCAATGTTAAAGAGTGTTAGCTAACTGTGCTAATTGTGCTTCCAATGTAAATGCTTGTGGAGGCTCTCAGTCGTACAGGAAAGTTCCATCGTAGAAAGGGTTCTGTCAGTCGTCATCTGTACCTGTGGGTAAAAAACAAAAAACAAAAAAGGACGTTTCGCTTCTCTCACAGAAGCTTCGTCAGCGGTAGACAACCCTGAAGTCTCCGTGAAGACTCCGGGAAGTTGCTCTGCGCTAAAAGGCTGAGCGTGGCCTGTTTGAGGACTGGGTGGGGATGGTTAGTCACGCCCCTATGGTTTTTGTTTTTTGTTTTTTACCCACAGGTACAGATGACGACTGACAGAACCCTTTCTACGATGGAACTTTCCTGTACGACTGAGAGCCTCCACAAGCA